CATCTTTAATTATTGTATAGGATACATATTTTGACACATATTTTACTACAAGCATTGCTCATCATTCCAACATCTTATTAAGCAAAATCATGTATTCGTTTTTACATTAAACATAATTAAAAGGACATTATTTGAAATTAAATAATATAAATATAATAAATAATAATGAAATGAAATAAAAATCCTAACTTACGTACCATGTAACTGGGTAGTACCTCCTTTCATTTTAGGTTCACGAAGGCTGTAAATTCGGAGCAGAAGACTAGTCACCAAATTACATAAAAAAATACTCATATTTTCAAAAAGTTCAATATGACCTTATTTGAATATCTGTTTTGGAAGAACACATTTTATTAAGAAAAAAAATTGTATCTTCGTAATAGTAAATGAAGGAAAACTCCAAACAAATTTTGATTTGTTTTTAATTTTTGAAAACTCAGGATTTTCAATCAACCTGAGAAAAAACAACAAAAAACGATGGAACGTTTTGTTTAATTCTGAAAATTTCGATAGGGCTTCATGTAAATCCCCGGAAATTGAAATATCGGTTTGGCCGCGGGCCGCGACATAAGGCAGATTGATTGGGAAATATCAATTTTTGAGAAAATCATCTAAGCGGTTTAGCCATTTGCGTTGTTCACGGACATACACCTTTTGCCGTAAATCGATTTTTCGTTATAAAGGACTCACAAAACATGTATTAAAACACATAAAACTTCAAATACCATTTGAAAAATTCTTAAACAAATAAAGCGTGAGAAATATATAATTTTTTAAATTAAAACTTTTAAGGCTAAATGCACTGACAAATACTTGTAGGAAAATTGGAGAGAAAAAAGGAGATTGTGCAAATAACAACACAATTGCATGAATACCGTTTGATTCAGTGAATCAGCAAAAGTCATCCCTCGGAAAAAGAAAAAAATAAGATTTTAAAAATGTTGTTGATGTAAGCATATACTTTCTAAAGATTCACATTGATAGAAACCTTATTTTCTATCTCCTCTGGAAAGTTGTGTAGATTACATTACGTCGCGTAACCGTTAGCGTAAAGTATATCGTGAGTAAGACCATACTCACAGAAAAATATTTCCTTGTTTTTTAAATTCGTTTGAATGCCCCATATTATTTATATCATTGTGGCCGATACGTCACGAGTCACGTCCAACTGGTTTTGCAGACTGCAATTTCTACAGATAACTTTTTCTAGAAAATCCACTTTTTATAAAAATAAGAAAATGGAAGGGAAAACACGCTCCAAATGCAAGCAAACATCTAGGAGTTATCCAATTGCATCATTACCATTTATTCATTTACGTAGCCTGTATGAAATGACTCACCAGAAATTATTTATTCCCTTCAAAATTATACAAATATAACATATTTATTTTTTTAAAAAATAACTTACCAAGTAAGCTGGGATAAGTCGATTCATAATATCTTGTTTCGATGCTTGTTACGGCGACGGGGTCAGGATGCAGCTCGCCAGCCCGCTATTTTACCGCCTTTTTTAAATTTGAAATCGTAGGCTTTTGCGGCCAGTCATGTGCATGATCTTGGCTGTCCGGGTGACTCCGCGTCGAAGGCTGTGTTAATACCGACTTTTCGACCATCTTGTCGTGGTCTTCCTCATGGGCATACCAGCCCTGTATGTATGGGCATACCAGCTCTGAGGAAGACCACGACAAAATGGTCGAAACGTCGGGGTTAGCAATATTTATTTGATATTTATTTCGAATAGGTTTTAAATTATTTCGAAAATATTAATTTGTTAACGTATAACAAAAGCTCCAATGTAAGAAACGAACAAAGAAATATGAAATATACATATTTCAACTTACGTTGCATCCAGCTGCCTCGAATTACAACCAAAATATTAGAAAATGAGATAATTTTCCTTACTGAAAGTACAAAATCTGAAAATTTTGAATTTAGAAAGCAGTAATTTTAATCTGCGTTGCTACTCTTTGAAATGATCACCTGTTTCTTTAGGTCAGACGGAGAAGAGTTGGATGTTAAATAGAAGTAACAACGAAGTGTGGTTAGCAAATGTTTTGAAAACTATACCTTTTCGTTTCTTATTCCCATCTAAAGCTGCCAATTTGCGCAATTGATGCATGATATTTGGCAGAGGCTCTCCAAACCATTCGAATCTGAATTTTCTTACAGGAAAGGGAATTTTTTTCCATTTCTCATTATAGAAGGTAATTACTTGTAAGCCTTAAGCCGTACCATTTTAAAATACATCCAGAGCTCTTTGATTGCTCACCATGCTCTTTGACATTTGAATTTGATAACAGTATCACGCTCTTCCTCTCCCATCAACATTCTCGAAACCTTTCTATCGCAATAACGAGGGTGCGCAGGGCTGTACAAGGCAGCTGCATTTCATGTGCCGCCAGCAATGCGGGCCAGGCGGCAGAAGACACCTTAAGTGATGAGGCACATAATCCTCTGTCTGTCCGCCGGCGCTCAGTGAACGATAATGCTCTGAAAGGGATAATACTGAGACGCCTGCACGCATCCAGTATGATACATAAAGTCTGAACCGCGACTTGTTCAGATTTTGTTGTTGATGTAATGTGTGTACTACTAAAATAATCGTGCGATGATAGGTGAATGTAATGAAACTATTGTTTAAAGAATTACTTCTGGGGATTGCTAATGTAACATGGATTTAACTTTTGTGTTTAAGGTGAGTTTAGTTGCATAAGTTTTAAATTTGTAATATTAATCAAGTTTTAAAAATTTGCTACATTTTAATACATTGATATTTAAATTTGTATGATTTCAGACGATTGTCTCCAAAATTAATATTGGTAGTTGCGATTAATAGCTGTAAATATTTGGATTATTTCTTTCATCGGATAGAGCAAAACACGGTAAAAAAAATATGACAGGTCCCATTTTCGGCAAACTCTCTATATTTCCGAAAATTGCAAAAAACGTCCACCCAAAATATTGATGATTGTTACTTTCTTTATGATATCTATTGTAAAACCTTCGACTTCTGCAACTTTGGTTTCTTGGGGGCGGGGGCGGATTTAGATGTAGACACAGTTAGCATGTGCGTGCGACGGCAACATTTTTGGTGTGACCAAAAATGTGTCTAAAGAGCCTCTTCTTCATTACGGGTGATTTTTCTTTTTTTAAAAGTTCTCTGAATATTCTCTGAATTTTAGGACAGAATGATTAAATACACGCAAATTTATTTATTGATCAGCTGATATTATCTTCTGTGATTAGAGAAAATGAGGTAATTTATAGTGAAATGAGTATATTATTAAGTCAAAAGTTATACAATTAAGATTTAATTACAATTACTCAGAAGGAGTCTACATGTTATCTCATTTGCTCGCTATCTTGATCGAAATACTCAGAACTTGTAATTCTCTGTTGTAGTCAGTGTTGCCAGATCAGCGGAAATACCGCCAGGTTTGATGTTTTTTAATGTAGTCAGCGAGGAAAAAATAGTTTTAGCGACACATGGAGCATCGGGAGTTAATCACGGGAAAATGATATGATTTGCTGAGAAGGCGGCAAAAGTTTCCTTTTTGTTGTGCTGAAGCGCAGTGGCGGTGTGCGGTGTGCGCAGGGGAGTACACGGTGCCCGCGGGCGCGTTCCTCACCTTCTCGCCGCTGCTGCTGCACCGCGACGAGCGACTGTGGCCGCAGCCCGCGCGCTTCCGCCCCGAGCGCTTCGGCCCCGAGGAGGCGCAGCGCCGCCACCCGTTCGCCTACATCCCCTTCAGCGCCGGCCCCCGCGGCTGCATCGGTAAGCCCCGCCAACGCCTTCGCCGTTCAGCCATGGCTTGACTGCTTGATACGAGAGTGTGCCGCGCTTCCGGCCACGACAAAATATATATATATATATATATATATATATATATATATATATATATATATATGCGGCTTAATTGATTGGCATTTACGTGGAAAACAGAACAAGCCACCGAGGAACTGAGACAGAGAAATTGTAATCCTGGAGGGTTGCAGGCCTTTCGAGCGGGTATGGCTGGACTTTCACGGCTGGTGTGAGCCATATTACTCTCCACTTCCGATTAGCACTAAACACATACAGAATTCCTTGAACTCGTGTTTAGCTGAGAAAAAAAGGACGGTGTTAAGCTTTGTTGCCACATTCTTGACGATATCCACGTGTTGGAAAAATTCAAAAGCAATACAGCAGAAAGGAGATGGAGTAAATAAGTTGCACAATCACCACGTGGGCCACTAACTACTTAGAAATTAGTCTAATTATTATATAAAATTTCTTAAAACTAATAATATTCTTAGGATAATACGTTAATGTAAATATAAGATAAGGAACTAGGAAACAAACAATATAATTAAAATGTTTATATAAAATAATATAATTCTAATATTTACGTAATAATATTAGAAGTTAAAAGTAGTAATAGCAAATATTATGATAATATTAATAATAGTAATAGTAATCAATAGCCACTTATAAAAATTAGCAAAAAGATGAAAAAAATTAAAAAATTATAATTAAAAATAATTTTGGTTAAGAACACAAAAGTAACATCAGTCTTTACTGTGTCCGTAGTTATGTATACTATCCAGTTCTGCTATAGTTCTACCGAACTTTGGAATTCTCACCCTTTACGAGCACGACACCATCACTGTTGTCCAAACATTCTTGATTGGCCGAAACGTCTCCACAGCCTTTTTTTAACACTTCCAGCGCGCATCCTCGTCAGTCCTCCCGAATGCCTGATACCGTTTCTTCAGATTTTCTTTTTGATGAAAATCCTTTCCGGCGCTCCATAACTGGTGATATTTACAATTATAGGTCGGAGTACCCACCATTCATTTTCGGCCAAACTCGATGACTGCGATCAATATCGCTAGTCTAAGTGGGACACCTATCTTTTTGGCAAACATTGTTGCATTGCAGTACGTGTCCTCCGCCAGTTCACGCTCTCAGTTCCCCAAAGATTCCTTAGGGAGTTCGCCGCTGCGTGGGACTGCGCAGCTCGTCAGCCCGCTCCTCCAATTGAAGTTTGAGATCATCGATCTCCTTAGTTTTCTAATAGTTTCTCTTCGTAACGAAGAAACTAACACCTCCAATTGCTTCCCACTAGCTTCAGAAGAAACAACCGTGCAATCTTTTGCTTATGAACATCCGATTGTAAGCGATGCTGATTTCAATAGCGAAGCCAGAGACAGCGTCAATTCGTTTAGCGTTGAGCTTGTGCCAATATGTTCAAAAATTAGCGTAAACGAAACTTCTTTTATGAAAATTAGCTTTTAGAAAAAAACTAAAAGTATTAACGATATATGTAGTAAGAGTTACGAATATTGTGGTTATACTTAGCTTATACCAAGGCAGACCACTGTGCGATTGTTGGCGGCGCTCTTCACTTGCGATCATACTGCTGAACA